GCTTTCTTTGCTCTATGTGCTGCTGAAGCGTGTCTGGTGAAGACACTCTAAGTCTCTGCCAATGGGAGAATGCTTTCCCATTAGCTTCCACCTCTTGTGCAAGTGAAATAGTTATGCTATGTCAGTGCATCACATAGCACCAGCATGGACACCACTTAGGTCACCGCAACTTGCATTTTTAGAGGGAAGGTTGTCTTTTTTAAGATCATCTTAAGCAATAGTGTAGATCTGCCTTCAGAGTTACTTGAATTAATTTGATTTTAACAGTTGTTATTTAGAAATATTAAAATCTATAGAGGTAACATTTTATTAATGAATAGAAAGGATTAAGTAGGAATATATTAGGGGAAAACAATAAAACAACTACACTGTTGTGGGCATATTGCCTGACATTGAAGTTTTTGCGATTGACTGTAACTGGCCAATTTGACTACAGTTCATATGTTGATGGAAGTAGGAGTTTTAAATTATTATATTATTTGTCACCAACTATATAAAGTGACAGATGTGTTAAATCGTACCAAGTTGGAATACCATTTGGCAAGCTGAATTAGATTTCTGTTGGGAAGCTGATGCTTTTATTATAAGCCAGCTTGTCACTTGTTACTAGTGCAGCCATTTTAACTTTATACCTTCCAAGTGATAATCCTCTAGAATGACTGTCACACCTTTGCTCCTAGTGTCAGTATCTCATTCAGGCCAACTGAAATTTAACTAAGAAGGATGATGAGCAGTGAGCAAAGATTCCCTATCATCTCTAGGTTGATATGCCTTTACTTTTCTGTGTGGGGAGGAAGGGAAGCTGAAATCCAAGGGATTCATCCCCATGCAGGATATTGTAACCCAGGCCCTGCTGTCCAGGGCTGAAGCCCTTTGACTTTAGGATGTGGGGCTCAGACTTCACTGCCCTGCTATACTTTCTGCAAATTGGCATAGGAATATGCATAACTCAAAGATGCTTTATGCAAAACAGGTCATGTAACATATCATTTTTGAAGTTACTGAAGTTAAAGCTACTGAATCTGTTTAATCTATTTTTATGCCTGTGTCATTCTTTGTATGTGAAGTTAGAAATATGAAGTGTGAATCTGTTTTTACTTCTAAATGTGCTAATGAGGTCCATTAGTTATACTTTAGGGCTAGTTATACTTTAGGGCATGATCTTCCACAAGAGTTCTTGTGCAAAAACTCTTCCAAAAGAGAGCGTCTACACTGGCATGGATGCTCTTGCGCAGAAGCACATCTCTTGTGCAAATGCACATGCTAGTGTAGACGCTCTTTTGCGCAAGAAAGCTCTGATGGCCATTTTAACCATAGGATTTTCTTGTGCAAGAAATTCACGTGGCTGGTTTACACTGGCTTCTTGTGCAAGAATAGCTGCACAAGAGAACGTCAGTGAACATCAGGGGGAAGGGCTACCAGAGCTATATAAGCCTGTGACTCAGCGACCAGGGAGAGCGTGGCCAGGAACAGCTAACAGGAGAGTTTGGAGCAGGAGTTTAGAGGGGGTGTTTAGAGGGCACTAGTGACTTCTGACCTTCTTTAAAACATAACTCTTAGAATAATCTATATTCCAGAGGTTTAAAAAGAATCCCAGTTTATACTTACACTAATTCATTAGAAAAATGGAGACAGAAGCCCAGCAGCAGAGTGTAACATGTATGATTATGGTGAGGAGTCCTGTGGCACCTTATAGACTAACTGAAGTGTAGGAGCATAAGCTTTCGTGGGCAAAGACCCACTTCGTCAGATGCATGTAGTGGAAATTTCCAGAGGCAGGAATAAATATGCAGGCCAGGATCAGGCTGGAGATGACCAGGTGGATCTAATCAAGGAGGATGAGGCCCACTTCTAGCAGCTGATCTGGAGGTGTGAATTCCAAGAGAGCAGAAGCTGCTTTTGTAGTTAGCAAGCCATTCACAGTCTTTGTTTAATCCTGAGTTGATTGTGTCAAACTTGAAGATGAACTGTAGTTCAGCAGTTTCTCTTTGAAGTCTGGTCCTGAAGTTTTTTTGCTGCAGGATGGCTACCTTTAGATCTGCAATTGTGTGTCCAGGAAGATTGAAGTGTTCCCCTACAGGTTTTTGTATGTTGCCATTCCTAATATCAGATTTGTGTCCATTGATTCTTTTACGTAGGGACTGTCCAGTTTGGCCGATGTATATAGCAGTGGGGCATTGTTGGCACATGATGGCATATATTACGTTAGTAGATGTGCAGGAGAATGAACCAGTGACGGTATGGATGATCTGGTTAGGACCTGTGAAGGTGTTGTTCGTGTTTATATGTGGGCAGAGTTGGCACCAAGGTTTGTTGCATGGATTAGTTCCTGAGTTAGAGTTATTATGGTGCGGTATATAGTTGCTGGTGAGAA